GAGACCCAGAACGTTGTCCAAGGTAGAACTCCCTGTCGGCCGCATTCTCTGATCCGCCGAGATAGGCCAATTATCACGGCTATCATGTTACCGAAAGAAGCCAAGGCAATGAGGAAGTTGAGGCCGCGGACAGCACCGCTGTTGCCGAAGACCTTCGCAAAGAATAGACTTGCAGTCGTGAGATCAGAGGACTCTATCTCGCTCTTTGGAACTGTGAAACCATATGCAATTAGTGTGGAGATTCCAGCATAGTAGGAGCTATCAGTGACAAACCAGCAGCAAAGAATGCGATATTAGCGAACATATATAGCACATAGACCGTCGTAAGAGCAGCGGTAGCGTAGATTTTGAGTGATCTGACGGGATTCTATCAACGGAAATGTCAGTCTCAGCCTCGTGCCACGTGAATCTCGAGCCGCCATACCTTGACCTCGTTCGCGACATTAAAGGCGTTATTATAACCTCCATAGGAGAAAATAATACGGTATAAGGCAGTAGTAAACCCGTATGCAGAAGCTTTAGAGCTACCTGACCACGCGTCTTGAAAGTTGGCCGTAGGGTTCTCAACCTTAGTATTGCCCCCTAAAACAACAAAGCCAGTGACTATGACGAAGAGAAGAGTGCAAATCTTCACAACCCCAACAGCGTTTGAGAACCAATATGCGTATTTCGTGTTGAACACCAGCGCTACAAGCTGTCAGCGTCACATGCTTAAATGAAATTTTGACTTGATAATAACCTACTCAAGGTAGCAAGACTGTAGCAGGCTAGAGCAGTGCCTTTGATTTGCCAATCGGTACCCTCGTGCCCGGAGATGGCGATAAGATACTTGGCCATGACTGTTATGTTTGCTAATTAATATCTTGCGAGAAATAGAAACCGAGACCCCACTCACCTGTAGCATTGGCACTTCCAAACGAAAGAATGACGCTCTGGACCGCAAAGGTGGTTGGGAAGAGCCATTTTGGATTAGGGTAAGCTTGCTCGAGGAAAACGACTTCCGAACCGGATCGACTGGGGAAGTATGCTGTAAACTCAAGGTACACAGCTCCAGACGTGAGACACATCTAGGATTGAGCGAGTATAATCAGTCGATGTTCCTTTCCAATCATGGAGGAGACATACCAAGTAGCCGAGGGTCCAAAACATGAGACTGGCACCGACCGAGCCCGTACCGGACAGGATTGATGATGCTTCGTCATATTAGCCTCCATTTCTGGATATACATGAGTTGTGTCGCACTCACGTGTGGAATAGATACCAGCGCCAATCATCATTGTGATGTTCAGCAAGGTGATTGTGACAGGGCCGACAGAGTATCCCAACGGTGAGTTGCTCTCAACTGGAGCTCCAGATGCGTCTTGGTACGTTGTGGCCGCATTATTGCCTCCTGTCTCACCAATATACTTGCCACCAGCAGTTGAGACCTGCCCCGTCTGATCTTCGACCGCAGTGCTGAACGCGACAGGGCGCTTGCTAGATCGCCGCCAACTCATCGGGAGCAATTGCCAAAAGCTCTGAGGATTATACAAATGGGGATGTTCTTTGCCAAAGAAAGAAAAAGGAAATGCAAGTTGACTAGTGTCAAGGCTCCTGTTGCTTGGTGTAGTGGTGTATGCTGGAGAAATAAAATAAATACGGTGCCCCATGGGCTATATATATATATATTTATGTCACGGCACTGAACTTTCGTCCTTCACTTTTTTACTTCCGGATGTCTTGTCCAATACAATAGGATCTCGGCTGGGGTGAGACCAACGTTTTGTCTGTGGAGAATAACGATTTCAACATTGGACCGGCTAATTTTACCACTAAGCAGGGGACCAAATGGGAGACAGACCATATGAATTCTGACCTTGACGTAGAACTGAATGAGAATTCGTCATCCGGTGTCCGATTCCCATACTATCCTCGACAAAAGCACCTAGGCTGTAACCCTTATGCATTACAAGTGGAGAAAGTATCACGCAATGATCAAGTTTCCATAATCTCTGCCGGAGACGAAAGCTTTGTACCAGTGAGCCTGGTACTAAGTATCCCACAACAATTATAGTAAATTTAAAGATGTCTGTCAGTATACATATACAACAGCAGGAGACTTGTCTAGTTGATATTTATATAAGAAGACAAGTCAACTATAAATGCTTATGACAGTACTATTTTATGCAGCAAGCATAGATGTAGCACGTTATAGCTAGCTAAATGGCGAAAGGAAAAACCTTCGCTGTAGCTGATGACAGATCTAAATGTGCCAAGTTGGATTGGCTGCAATCATATCATTCCGCGCGATAATGGTGTGTTATTGGATATTTTGGGTGCTTATATTGCTATTTATGACGCCATGTGTTGTTGTGATGTGTGTGAGCGGTGTCTCCAACATATTGCTGGACCTTGAGGCGCTCCGCTCGAACGAGTAAGCGTGGAGTTGAATGAGGTACCTCGAAAGGATTTCGAATACACCAATAGGAAGGCTAAAATGAATCTGGAACAGATTCCGAGATTTGGCCGACTCACACGGCCCCAAATTAGAGTTCTTGAAATTGTTGAGGCAGAGGCAATTGATGCTCATTCTTTTGCTTCACAAGCCCCTTTCTAGGGGTTCTAGGGATCAAAATAAGTGATCTTTTAAACATAAACACCGTAATAAGTGGACAGAGAAAAGGGAAAGGGGAGGATAAAAGGAGAGAAGGAAAGGGAGAGAAGGGAGGAGAGCAAACTACATGTGAAGTAGCCCTCGCATGCCTCAGGCAACCAAACACGCTTGTCAGTTGCTGTTGACTTAAGTAATATAATTGGGAACCATCGTGTGTGATCCAGATTCTTCTCAACAACAAGTGTGATCCAGTTTTAGAGCCAAGAAAAAGCAAGAGAGATACGTTTTTTATCCAAAGTATGGCGTGATGGATTCTGACGCCAAAACGATATAAAATTACTCACTTGGCAAATTCATTCTTCCTTTCTAAGTACCTATTCATTCAATACTTGAGCCGAAGGCGCTCGCCTCTTTTCATTGCCAAGTAATACGCTGCACGCACGTATGGCTTTGGCCTTCAAGGCTGAGCCTACGGGCATTGATATTCCATCACCTAAGAACGAGAAGGCTATCGACACTAAATACGCCGATGAAACCCTGCGTATTCTTGAGCTTCATGGAGACTCTGTTGGTCCATTGACGACCGAGAAGGAGAAAAAGTTGAGACGAAAGTTGTACTGGCATATTTTCGGTTTACTCTCTGCTATCAACCTACTGCTATTTGTGAGCACGTATCCGGACATCTTGTTTGCAACCTCTAACTTCTCTAGATTGATAAATCCACTCTGGGCTACGCCGCTATTCTCGGCCTGTTCGAAGAGACTGGCATCACCAAGGCTGAATACAACAATCTTGGAACTTTCTTCTATGTCGGTACGTGATAGTATTGATAGTCGGATTGTAACTTCTCTAACAATCTTGTAGGTTACATTATTGCACAATGGCCAGGACATTATGCTATGCAAAAACTACCATTTGGAAAATTTGTCGCCACTCTTATCTTCATGTGGGGTGTTATCCTACTACTTCATTGCGTTGCCACGACGTATGCCGCTCTTGTGGTTCTGCGACTAGCGCTCGGTGCCGCTGAATCTGTCGTTGTGCCTGCAATGGAAGTCACGATCGGAATGTTCTTCAATCGTTACGAACAGTCGTTTCTCCAACCTTTCCTTTGGTTGACGTCGGCAGCCGCCCCTATCTGTGCCGCATTTATCTCCTACGGTCTGCTTTGGAGTCACGGTTCCATCCTGCCTTGGAAACTGTTCATGATTATTACTGGGGGTGTCTCGGTACTTCTTTCTGTTCTTGTTTGGTTTCGGTATCCGAACAACCCTGCTGAGGCTAGCTTCCTGTCTCTGGAGGAGAAAATTCATACCATCAGACGAGTACACGAGTCAAGTCAAAGCTCCATTGAACAGAAGCAGTTTAAGAAGAGCCAATTTAAAGAGACACTTCGCGATCCCGTTTCATGGCTTTTTACTCTGCAGGCCTTCACCCTAATGATGTCAAATAATCTCACCTACGGACAGCAGAACCTGATCACGAAGGCTCTTGGGGTGGACAGTTTGGGCTCGACTCTCGTGGCTGCAGCTGGAGGTGGTTTTGGTGTCCTGGTCTGCCTTGCGGGAGCCTATTCCCTGCGGTGGTGGCCTTCAAATCTTGCCTTACATGGACTCTTCTGGTGTATCCCTGCGATTGCAGGTGGAATTGGGATGGTTGCTATTGATTGGGATCAGAAGCTAGGGATGCTTGCCTGTCTACTGCTGGCTGGCCACACCTACGGTAATACCTACATTATCGCGTTGGGCTGGGCAACATCATCTGCAGCCGGCTACACAAAGAAGCTGACCCGAAATGTTATGTTCATGGTTGGTTACTCTATTGCAAACATTTGCTCACCACAGATATGGGTTCCTAAGGATGCGCCTCGCTATTACGGTGCCTGGATCTCCATGATATTGGTCAGCTGGGTGGGAACACCATTGATCCTTTTCATTATACGATTCTTGTTGAAACGCAGAAACTCACACCGCAAGGCTTGGGCTGCATCCTTGACCAGCGAAGAGCGAAAGGCGCACGAACTTGGAGTAGTCGAGGAGTATGATGAAAATGGGAATATGATACGCAGGAAAGTTGAAATTGCCATGTTGGATATGACTGATATGGAGAACAAGTTCTTCATCTATCCTATTTGAATAATAGGAGTGTTAGGAATTTGGCGTCATCCAACACCAATTCTCTATATAAATTATCGGCCAGGGAAATAGATATAGTATACTAGCTTTGCCCTGATAGTTTCGAAGTGCGCGCTATCGCTGAGATTAGTCGACTCCACATGAATGGCCAGATGAGCCAAGGCGATGATCCCCAAGCTAAGTATACGAACCACCGGAAAACTAAAGGATAGCAGGGGATATATACATTTGAGAATGAATTGGGCCTCCTGCAGGCCGAGGAAACCGTCCGTATGCTAGTGGAGAAAAGGCCGGACACGTCGAACCTTGTCCCTGCCCATATTCTAGCAGAGCACCTTGTTAAGACTAAGTAATATAAGGAAGCGGAGGAAATCGAGCGGTCAGTTTGTGAGTTGATGGATGCTCATCCGGGCTTTGGTAAACTCTCCCCGCAAGCTCTCGACGCTCGCAGAAGATCCGTTTGTAGTTTTGTCGGATATTTGAGTACTGCCTTCACTAATTGGTACACAGCATGAGAGAAACGAGAAACGAGAAACGAAGTCATCGTTGAAAAATGAGCAACAACTTATAGACCGCTCGAACATAGTCGCTACGGAATTTGGAAGAAGCATCCTGCGTTTCATCGTTGCATTGAGTCATCAAATATAAGCGCTCTAGCAGACATTAGGCCCTTTTGATCGAGTTCATCAACAATTTTCTCAATGTAAGCAAGATCAACCTCTTGCCCAAACTCTTGCGCCTTGAATGTTTGATGGGCCATCTGAAGGGGGAAAAAGGTAGATGCCGGCCCGAAAAGTCTCATCTCATCTTGTAATAGGTAGACCATACTCAGAGATATACTTTTTGCACATGTCATCATCTGAGCTTGAATCTCAGCGTAATTCATATCAAGCTGCCCGATCCAGGCCGGCTGCCCTTGTTCATTGTCAAGGAAATGTGTGATGAATCTCTTGAGTTCAGAGAGGCAGACAATTCTGAAGGCCCAAAGGTGGGTAAAAGTGTTGGCCATGGTGACGTTAGGGTACCAAAAAAGTAAACGTGTATCGTCAGAGGTCCTTGATTGTACTCCCTGTGATGCATAATCGCATCTCCAATAACAAGGTCGGTCTCCATTTTGCACCGCAGCTTCCCATTCATCAAGATGAATGAGTGTATCAAATAAAGAACGGGCTATATTGTTAACATCGGACAACTGACTCTGGGTCGGATTTTCCAGGACGCAATCGCTTTGGTGGAGAAGGGCGGGAAGGGAGACAGCCTCACTAAGGAGGCATTGTATAAGTGATGGGCCGAGATTTGAAAATGGGATGTCAATCCACAGTTGTGATGCTAAAAATGAAGGCTGGCGGCATTGTAACGCCTGAATTATCTATATCCAAGCTCAACAGCCATACGCCAGAAAGGTCAGAGTGGAGGAGACGAACCAGAAGGGGTCGGAACCCGACGAATAGCTTATGTAGTAACCCGGAACTACATATGTTCGGCCCGTGGGCTTGTAGTAACAGGCCTACAGCCTGAATATGTGATGTTATAGCGGCGACGGAATCTGGAATCATAAGCTTTGACGAGTTAGCATGCGCATAGATAATACTTGGGTAATAAGTCATAAGTACCTCCACTAGTGTAAGACACATAATAGCTGGTATCTGCTCAACACTAAGGGTACGGGGATTCAGCCAAAAGCTTTCTCGTAGTGTGTGGATTGCCGCGTCATAGGCCTGGGAGCAATTGATGTTGGATATGCTCGGTTGAGACAGTAGCGAGGCTGCCAGTGCTGTAACCGCCGTGGGAAGAACTAGACTGGGACTGCTTAGACATGGAAGGCTCGATAGCACTTCAACCCAAGAGCCGCATATTCGAGGCTCCATATAGTCTGAGTTGCACGTCTGTGTAATCATTTCGCTCTGGGGTACAAAGCTTTCGGTGATCAACTCCGTGAGATTATATACATTGGGTGGGTTTTTATATAGCTGGAGGGGCAAAGGTCTGGTTGGGGGCGTGTCTTCGTGTTGATCCGCACCAGATGTTGTCACTTGGTCTTTATCTTGAACAGTTCTAGCTTCGTCATGTTGCTCTTCTGGGGTAGACGAGTGTATCGGAGTGTGTGATATAAATTTCCAGTCTGTTCGATAGCCATCACACTTGTGACCGGAAAGGACGCATTGGCTGCATTCTGGGAGCTTCCCATCGCACTAAAATTAGAAGAATATCAGTGGTCCAATCTCAATGACAGATGGTGTTAGCTCATACTCCTAGTTTTCGGGTTCTACAAGTCTGACAGACAGACTTTTGCTTGACTTTCATTTTGGGAGTGAGATAAAATCCCCTGAAGGTCTAGAAGGGAGTAGAAGTACCCTAATGAGCCGGAATGTGGGTCGTGACGTAGATCGTCTTGGCGGAATATGCTTCCTAATCGGGGTTAGGCCCACTTCTTCTTTGGGATAGAAATGAAAATAATTTAGGATGTACATCTATCAAATATCACTAAATAACCAAGCTCTGCATGATTTGTAAATCAAAAGTTGTCACTTTGACGCAGGCAGAGAGAGTCAAGCACTACCTGCGTACTTGCTGTAGGCATCGACCAAGTATTTTGCCAATACTCACAAGTCGTCCAACCATTGCCCAATGACAGGAGCCAGGGGCACGATGAATGGGTCTATTTAGGTTGTTGGAGAGCCGTTGTTAAAACGCTTGGCGAAATTAACAGCCAGAAACAGCAACGTGGGTCTACATTCACATTACACCTGTGGACAAGGTTAGGACAATTTCTAAGCACTTTGTTAATATCTCCAGGGCTCCAGTATTTGCATGTGTAATCTATGTTTGTAATCAAATTTAGAGGAACCTGGGAAGTGACACTGCTGTTTCCCTTACCCTATCAAGTGGCGAAGCAACGTGAGTTATAAAGTGACCCCGTCCTGTCTACAACTAATCTCCTTTCTCTAATTCTCATTACTATATCTGACTATCATTTTGAGGTCCAAGAACCCGTTCTTGATCTTTTCTATCCTCTATCAGAATCTACTACAATGGCTCCATCAACCTTCAAGGGCTCCTTCAGCATTACGCACATTGGCACAGCCACAGCCATCTTTGAGATTGACGATATCAAGCTTCTGACCGATCCCTTTTTCTCACCCGCGGGCACAAGCTGGGACATGGGCGGGGGTAATTTCCTGAAGAACACTGAAACCCCTGCTCTTGGGCTCGAAAACTTGCCTGCCATCGATGCCATTCTCCTCAGCCACGAAGATCATCCTGACAACTTGGATGAAATTGGTCGTCAGCTGTTGCATGGACGTCACGTTTTCACCACAGTGGACGGGGGGAAAAACTTGCCCCTCGCCCTGCCGTTCGTGGCATGAAGCCGTGGGAAACCGCCTCCGTCGTCCTCGGCGGCCAGAAATATGAAGTCACTGCCACCCCATGTCAGCATCTGCCCGGCGGCGAATGTACTGGTTTTATTCTGACCAAGGCGGAGTTCGGTGTCAGTGCTGATGGTCGCCCCAATGCGATCTATTTCACTGGAGACACTGTCTATATCGACGAACTTGCTAAAATCCCAGAGAAGTTCCATATCGTTGCTGCTGTGATGAACTTGGGGTCTGCCTTTGCTGCTATGCCCGACGGACCGCTTCAAATCACAATGGATGGCAAACAGGCTGCTCATCTTTTCCACACCATCAAGGCGGACTATCTTGTGCCCATGCATTATGAATCTTGGGGCCACTTTACCCAGTTTGGAAAAGATTTGGTAGGGGAGTTCCAGGAGGAAGGAATTATTGATAATGTTCGCTGGCTCACTCCCGGAAAATCGGTGAAGATTTTGTAAAAGAGTGTTGGTGTTTTTGCATTGGGTGGTTAGCTGAGGTTGGGATTGTTGTGTACTGCCGAAGTTCAACGAAAATCATCGATAGGATAGTTGTTTCTAGAATTAAACTCCAATTGGTTATTAAAAACGAATGGAAAAAGGATTCGGGTTACTTAGCCCACGCCCCATTTATTTGTATAATCCGTGCTTGCTTTACGGCCTATTTCGGAATATACTCGGAATTTCGATGTTGTACCTATGCTAGTATATGAGTGATCAACCACAAAACGAGAGGATTGAAAGGTAGAAATTCTCGTTTCATTGACACTGCCGATAATGGAATGAATATTTTTGCATGAACAGTCACTCATCATAATAGTAGGAATAGTCCAGTACCAGCAATTGCTTTTAGAACAAGCCGGAGACTACAGTGAACGGTTATCACACGAGATTGTGTTTTATATGGTATGAGAATATAAAAAGCGCAATAGGATTGATGTACAACCCGAGATTTCTAGCTGACTGCGTTTCTGCTCTTATAAGAGTACAGCATCTCGCACTCATTGGGCTCACGGCTTCAAACCACGCTGATAGACCATTGCGCCCAAGGTCATCCAAGGAGTAACCCACAAGCAGCCGAGGCCAATGTAAGATCTGACCTTGAAGTATCCCCATCCGGTTACGATTCCTGCAAGGACTGTACTCCAAATAATCAATTGCTCTTCCAGGGTCTTCACGCCCCTAATCCTTGCCCATTGGATATTTAAAAGGGCTGTAATTTGGTGAGTACAAAGAAGATATCATTATGGAAGTAAGACGCACCAGAAACAGCCAAAAGACCGTTGACCATGTCCCAAGCGGTTGTTGCAGTGGCTTTACCAAGAGCGTGTTTGGCATCGGATGAAATCTTAGCCACTGCAGGGTCGACTTCTTTAATGCCAAACATGATATGACCCGGTATCGAGATGGCATTTATTGCAGCAGAAGCATAGTATAAAGTGGTAGGAATGAACGACATTCTAATTCAGCTAAGCTGAAAATCTATTTCAAGAGAATTTTCCGAAGATTGGAGAAGAAACCATGTATAAAATCAAAAGACGGAGTTATGCCGTCGCATGGAGTATATAGGTAGTAAAGCAAATTGCTGACATGTTGCGAGTGCTTGGGTTCCAAATGGCTGGAAAGACGCAAAATCGGGAACGGAGAAAATGAAAGCGGGTTAGAAATCAAATTCCTCCATAGGTACAAGAATCATGGTGATCGAGTGTGGACTGTTAAGATATCAGAAATGGCAATCAATTCTTGGCGAATTATAGTACCTAATATGGTTTAGTGCGTATTGTCTTCTAAAAATATCCGGAACGGGCCTAGTGGCTACTCGAGAAGTGTGCACAGCGTCCGAAGTATTTACATAGTGGCGGCCTGAATATGCCTGATAACAGACTACTTTCGACACCGCTCTATAGTTACCGTGTACTGTAAAGGATGCTGCTACACCCCGAAAGGGTTATTTTTTTGATCGGCGTACAAGAGGTCACACTGACAGTTCGGAAAAGCATGCACAAATGTCTGTTAAGTTTGCAACGTGTCTATTCATACATGGGGCAAACCTTCATCATCCGAGGCGAGGTAAATGCGATTCAGTTCTACCGTGATCTCGAGTATATCGTTTGACAATTGGTGGGTGACCAGAACTATTAAACGGTCAGCAAACGTGAGCTATCACGGGAGGCCGTAAAGAGCTGGCCGTGAAGAGCTTCGACTCTAGGGATCTTACTGAAAGAGTGGAGTAGGACACAGTCAACATCATCAGTCGAATGAGACATTATTCGTTCTTGGCGGAAGTGATAGATTTGTCCCAGAAGCTCATCTTCTATAGTCTCTATATTTGTTAGAGCGCCTCTGCTGGCCCTCTCCCGCTCCACCGATGATGCAATAACTAGATTGATAGTCAGCAATTAGAGAATCTTAGCTTGATTTTTTTGCTTGCCACCCAGCGCTTAGTTTGGATTTTCAAGACTTACCAGCTAGCAGATGGCATATATAAGTTGAAAGCCGCTGCCTGACAACCGCAGTATACTGGAAAAGAGAACATTGGCCTTCCGACAGCCCCGGGGCATTGACCAGAATGAGATCCAAGGAATACAAGTTGTCTACAATGCTCCTTGTCCGGCGGATGATATTACCGTATGCAGCATCTGGAAAAGGCCTTTTGAACTCGAATTCAGAGCGCGCTGATGTCCGGAGACGCTCGAGTTGGGAAAAGAGGCGCTCAATCTCAAGTTTGTCCGGGGAGGTCATGAAGCAACCAAGTGTATTTCCCTCTGCTATGCCTATGGTGCTCAAGGGATCCGATTCCCAAACGAACAGCAGCCGGAGCCATAGCAGATGCAATGTATTGTTTAACTTAGTCCATGCGCGAATTGGCCAGATGCCTCGTGTGATGATGATACCCCAGATGCAACCCGAGGTGACAGAGATGACTCTGTGAAGAACGATTTCGGTGATATTGAGATGCTCTCCGCTGCGATCTTGCTTGTCGCTCTCGGTTTGTGAGTAAGAGTAAGCATACAGCACAGAGAGGTTGTAGGTCAGTAGGATGAAACGGCCCATGGGGCCCTGGCCTTTCACAATGATCATGTAAAAAGGACCAAGGGCCATGAAAAAGCCCAGGACTGCGAGACCGATAGCACGTTCACCAACAAGGTACCATGCAGCTATCGAACAAAGCCCCCCAAGACATGTACCGATAAATCGAGCAAAGCCCGTAGTGTTTGATGCACCAATAGTCATCGAACATACCAACATGTATGAGAGAAGGCCCCATTCACCCCTCCAAAATAGATAAAAGGGTCTCGTCCAGGATATAAAGGCAGGCAAAGCATAGATCGCTGCTCCTGTTCCTACTTTGAGGGCGAACTTGACCTCGTCCGCACGAAGAAAGTCAAGGTATCTCCAACGGTAAGAACGAGTTCTGCTATACAAAGCTTCTTCTAGGTGTTGAAGCTCAAAGCGATCGGAATGAATCGCGCCTGTCAAACTGGTGTTATTCGATTCGCCCTGGGGATGGTTTGACGTAGCTGCTGCCGAGAGACATATTAGCGTCATGGCGACCATAAGCCTCTAAGGGTATACTCACTTTCGGTCAACTGATGTGTTTCGCGCCTGTGGTTAGCTTGCCACCACGAAGCCCAAATCCAAGCCCAGGACATATTATTCGGTCTTGCATCATTCTCGACTTGCATCTCCTCCAAAGCTAATAGGAAATGCTGCATCTGTTCCGCTAGTTCAAGAAGAGATACCGAATAGTAATTACAGCTAGCGAATATCTCTTCAAAACAAGGATTGTTTTCCTCACTCAGAGAAACCATTACTTCTTTGCGAGAAAGCGAATGCAAGGCGGAGATTCTAGCTTCTCGATAAGTCTTGATTGCCTCGTCTACACGGGGGCGAGCTCCGCCATCCACGAAGATCTTGTAATCGGGAGCAGCCCCAAAGGACACTTCTTGGAAGATGATTCTCAGCGTAGAAACTAGTAGATTCTTCTAATCATTAGAACACACCATGTTAGGCGTTTGCTAGGGGCCATTGGCTCTTACCATAGAAGTTTCCAGTCGGGATTTGAAGTTTTCGAAAACTTTAGCCTCCGAATGGTTCAAACGAGTATCTCCTCTCAATAATCCAGACTCCAAAGCTACCGCGCCGCGTAGAGCCCCTAGGCGACGCGTGATTTCCTGCATGAGATGCGCGAGACGTTTGGCAATGGAATACTCTCGCTCTGTGCCCGCGACATAGTGCTCAAACTTCGACTCGTCGAGTTGTTTTTTCATTTCGGCAAATGCGTTGTCGTGCCGCGCAGACAGCTTAGCAAACGGTACTTCTTGGAGCTCCTGGGTGGACCCGCTAATAAAGGATTCAGTAATGGTTATGAGCATTGACATCGCGGTGTTTGTCAAAGTTGACAGATTTCCTCGGAATTTCTTGCGCGCAGAAGAAGGTAGTATCGAGAGCGACACGGCCGCCGCTATCCCGACACCCAAAAGAACCATTCTTAGAACCTGAGATATCTTGTCGAAAGAAAGAGCACCTCTTTGCACTGCCCCTTCCGTCATAATGACAAGGATCGAAGCCAGCGAAGCCAAAGAGCAGGCAATATTGACGAGCGGATCATCCATTTTCTGCTTGAACCATCCAATGCACCCAAACCCACCAGCAACAAAGACTACCAGGACTACCACATGACCCAATTCAATCATATCGTACTTTTCGCGAAAGAGAATGGTAATCCACATGCTCGATAGCGAAAGGACCGTCGCAAAGATAAAACCGAAGAAGGCACATATTAGTGCTTTGTACATGCTGCCTTGCGACCTCGCTGGATGAAAGTAGACTGTGATCGTGGCCACCATGTGTTTACCATTTTGGTGACCCAAAGTATTCCCAATGATGGGTGTGAAAACTGCTAGAGAGGCGAGGAGATATGCGAGGCTGCACTTGAAGATTCCCACACCCTGCTCTGAGCGGATGAAATCTCGCGTGTCGCTCCATGTTTTGAGTAATTTCCTAATGATCCATGCAGTAAGCGGCTCTTGGTCGATGACTTCCTGGCCCACTATAAAAGGCTGTCGTTCCTCTGCGTGATCGGCGCTAGAGCGCGTAGTGACGTCTTCCTGTGGTTGGGTGCCTGATATGGAGTGTGTCACACGGGGCTGTGGAAGTCAGTACTATCTCGGGTCAGCTAGGATGAATAGATTAATACCTACCCATAAATTCAACAAGGCCCTGGGGGTCACCACTGAAAGTCTGTTCATCCTAACGCTAAGAGGGCGGAATCTCCACCTACGCACTCTCCCCACTTTTGACTATTCTCCGGAATCCAGCCTACCGCCTTCGTATTGCCGATGACGTCACTCCTATCTTTCCTTTGTCTCTCGACCCAACCTGAGCACTTTGGCACTTTTAATCGTGATATTCAACAATATATCCTAGAGGAATAACTAGAAATTTGTACTGATACCCCTATGGGCTTGGGAGTCGCCCACCTGACACCTTCTTAACAGTGACATTTCAATTGCCAGACCAGGACCAAATGAGGTAGCAACAACATGCTCCTTTTTGCTTTGTGAACGAAGTTGATCCAAAACAATCAAGACCGAAGCGCTAGACGAGTTTCCCCGTGTGTGATATATCTCCCGACTTACCTGTAGTTGATCTTCAGATAGTTGCAAGACTTGAGCTACCCCATCTATGATTGCCTTTCCCCCGGGATGCAAGGCCCAGTCGAAATCGCCAACCCCTAGCGTTCTCAGCAGTTGCCCACCTGCTCTTGGTTGAGACTTTATTTGTTCCTCATACGAGGGAAGAAGGCTCTCAAACATTGGTCCGATCGCGTGTTTGGTGTATTTCGGAATATCTCGATCAAGTGTAGCTTGATAACCTATATACGTATGCAACCGAAAGTCGGTGTGGATGATTAGTCTAGAGTGTTTTTTGAAAGAGCGCATGATGACAAACAGACCATCTATATCCGCATAAAATGTCATATGCTCAGCGGTGTCCGGAACCAAATCATACCCCCATTCCAGAAGCTCATATTGAGGAGTGGCTTGTTCATCCTCGGCCATAGCGTACTCATTACAAAGAACAAAAGCGGCCGCAGCATCTGAGAACAAGGCCGCTGCAATGTTCACTTGATCGGAATCGGGACTGATTTCGGCCAAAGACAGATATCGTCGCACATTAGGCGTACACAGCTCACAAGCGAATGCCAAAATGCGGGCCGGTTTCCGTCGCAGACTTGCCCCGCCGGCTATCTGCGCTGCGGCCCGCAATATGGACAGCCCACCTGCGCACCCGACGCCGTGAAGAAGCATGCGATCGACATTGGATGGGAGGTTCAATTTCTGGGTTACTAGAAAGTCGTACCCCGGGTTACCCTGATTGGTACAGGTAACCGCGATCGTATGGGTAATCTGCTGGGGAGTGACATGTGCTTCTCCGAGAGCCTTCTTACACGCTTCAACGGCAAGGTCGACCCCGGCTTGACGGAAGAACTGGTCAATCTCACTGATTGAGGGTGGGCCCTTCTGCGTCGCAAATCCTACCTCGTACGGTCGGATTGCAGATCTGGTCTCGATACCCGTTGAGCGGTTGACTTGAAGCAGCTTTTTGATTCTAGATAAAAAATAATTAAACATTTTCTGCGGGGCAGTTCAAGTTGAACGGCTTACCCTGGACGGCTCACATCGTGAGAGCGCGCTGCAAGTTTCTCAAGGTCCTCGGGCCCCAGCAGATAGGGAGGATATTGCGATCCCAGGCCCGTGATATACAAGGCTGGGGCTAGTGAGTTGTTCATGGTAGTCTACTAGTTGACCTGGGGAGATGAATTCGCTTATACAAAGTGGAGGAAAGCGGACGATAAGGGGCGAAAGCGAAGGGCTGAGTAGATCCACCCTAACCTTAGCGGGTTTCTCTGGGTTTCTGTTGTGAGATTGTACAGCCTCATTTCTCTGATTCAACTCCGACCAGCACTCTTGGCAAAAAAAATCGTAAAGAAAATTGCCGACCTTAATTCCCTGGAATACTTCTTATCAATCATTGATCTCTTGCAATCTTTCGGGCCCACCCCTGATTTGCAACTGGACATATTGTCAACCCTGGAAGGATGTTGATATTCATACGTCAAGTCATCTAGAAAATCTCCCACAAGTGGCTAAGGAAACGAGGTACAGTAACAGAGTATAGCCAAGAGCGATAGTTTTGGCTGTCATTCTCACAGATCGTCATAATCTGTGTGCAAACTCGAACGACTCGCAGAAGCCATTTCAGACGGGGAGGTATAAAATCAATGCTTATTGCGTTCAATATCCCAAAATGGGGATTTAAATAAGAGGAACGGATTTGCCGAGTTCCAGAATTGAAAAACCACTCATCTTCGCAGCATTTAAAGCCTCAAGTGCCACGTCCGGAATCGTCGGGTCCGAATCCATACGTACAAAAAGGCTCAATTTGTCTAAAAGGGGCAGCTTTGTGGCCCGATCATCTAAAAGGCCGTCGGTCAGGTGAGTGATGCATTTCAGATGATCATCACTGAATGTGTTGAGATACAAGTTCAGCGTTTCAATGGACGCTGGCAACATTTCAGTCAGTTTGGGCCAGGCTGGACTGCCGGGAACTGCCTCGAATTCATCCCATTCGATGTATCCCGTCGACGGATCATATGGGGGATTGCACAATGTGTCGATATCCAATTCAAGCACAGCCAATTTCCGAAAACGAGTCATATCCACGAGTGTGGCTCCTTTATTACCCCAGCAAGTGAATATTGTCACCGACAATGTCTTCAGATTCTCAGCGCAGATATTCTGCACAATATCCAAAAACGCACCAATGTTCCAGTTGTGGCCGCAGCCATGCCACTTTGTTTCATGAGAGAACTCAAACGTCTCTAGGTTTGGAATTCGCGAGAGTAGCTGAGATAGCTCCTCCGGGCCTGCGACACTCATGTCTAAGCTCAATTTCCGCAAATTTGTGCTATAGCATCCAACCAATGGGTCAAAGGGGATTCCAGTGTACCCATCATCAATAAAGACGCAGCTTTTCAGGGAGACTTCGGACACGGAATTGATCGCCATGAATGGTACAAATGGGGTCAATGGTGACCTTTCTTCATAGCCGTTGTCACGGGAGGGTTCCACGATGGAGAGAATTGACAACGGCGCATCAGGAAATTCATCAGAGTGGTTTGCCCGATGCATGATCATCTCGAGTACCGGCCACAGACGTTCGTTGGCCAAATTGCTATTATCAAAAGCATGTAGTTCATCCCAACGTGGGTGCAAAGCCAACTTTCGCACTTGAGATAGCAATGTCAGGAGAAAGACATCTGCATATACTGTGGACCGTTGAATTCCTCTAATCCAATCATCGGGATCCCCTTTGAAGGCTTCGATGAAGGGCGACATAAGCACCAAGTTCTTTAGAGTCTCGGGTACCTCGGCCTCCAAAGGGTCTGGTACTTCTTCCTCTTCGTCTTCATATTCATCTTGATCTTCATGACCCCTGAGGTCAACGGATCGTATGTATTGTGCCAAGGAGTGATCCAGAGCGATCTGTTCCAATAGCCCTCGCGTGGTCGTGATGGGAATGCCTGTTTCTTGGGTGATTTCATCCCAAGAATCGGCTGGGTCGGATTCCCCTGCCCCTGCTTGTATTTTTTCAACTTTGTATGAAAATTCAAAGTCTCGAAACTGTTTCTTTCGGGTAGCATATTGCGCTCGGAAAGGGGTGCTTGCTGCAAACAAATCTTTACAAGACAGGGCTGTGGCTTCAAAATCCACCGGAATCGTTTCTTTTACGATTAACCCTAGGAGTTCCAAGGGAAGATCAAGTAACGATGGCATCTTGTCTTATTTCGAGCTCTTGAAGATGAGTCGTATGGGACAGGAAGAAAATCGGGTTGGCAGATGGTATTAAACGCAGTAGATACAATAAATAATACCACTAGGCGACGAAAACCCTTGGTTCCTGCCTAGAGTGGCCCCAGTCTGACAAATATCTGAAAATGATTGGTTTCAATAGCTCCGCGTGAGGTCCGTGCATTCTCAATACACTCTAAATGTGTAAAGTGGAAAACAACACAGTAACCCTAAATACTAGGCAGCAATCAGAGAACCGCGGATTCCCAGTGTATACGATATCAAAATATAGAGCAGCTCCTGTCTTACTTCCCCTGTTGAGAGCCATGCAATATAACCGACCCTAAGATATAGCATGCGATGCACGATTGGTCACTTCAATTCATATACAAATTAAATGTAGTGTGTATATTGTATGCGTAGATCAAAATTATTACACCTCAGATCAAAACCAATTGTGAACACTCTAAAGAGCAAGAGCAAGCCCCAAGAAGCCAACCGATCCAGCAATACCCATAGCTACACTACCAGTGGCAATAGCGGCACCACCGGTTGAGCGCGCAGACGAAGAGGTAGCCGACTGGGAGCTGGAAGCAGCACCGGATGTAGGAGAGGCATGAGTCGATGCTTGTGTCTCGGTGGAAGTAGAATCAGATGCGCCAGTAGTAGTAGCCATAGCGGTCTCAGATGCAGGCCCAGAGGAAGTACTGCCCATAGCAACGGTTACTGAAGAACTAAGACCGAGCAACTCTGCGTCGAAGCCACCAAGCTCAGTAACCACCGATTTGATGCTAGCTGGGAGGTCGTTGTACCAGGCTGGGTAGGTGCCAGCTGCAGCGGCGCTGGCGACTGAAGCTATTTCGGCGGAGTTCATATACTCCCAAGAAGCCGGAACAGCGGTCTCCATAACGCTCATGTATTCGTTGGCGATTGACGTCGCTTCAGGGGAGATCGAGATTGATTCGTTGGGTTCGTTGGAGGAGTCAGGGGAGCTGGAATCATCCGAGTAGCCTTCCGAAGTGGCTACAGATGTAGCTTGGGGTACGGCCAGAGCCGGAGTGAGGAGAAGAAGAGCAGCGATCGCCTTGGAGTGCATTTTGATCGTGTCAATGTGGGGTTTGAGAAAATTGCTGGTAGAAAAGTAAACAACGAATCACAAAGTTAATGGGAAGGTGATGAAGATGGGATTCACAAAAGACCAGGGGACCAGCAAAGCTAAATATCACTTCGGCTCGGCAAAAGATGCGTCCTATCGACTGCGAGCGAGCCTTTTTTTAGAGGCTTTGCTGGTCCTTTTTAGGTTCAAATTGACTTATAGGCTAAGCTCTCACATCCTGAGCCCATTTATTACCCGACAAAGAGGTTCTTCATTTCCCGCTTACACCTGTCTCTAGGACGCTTTCTCCTAATGAGGACTGTTCATCAGCCACATTGGACGCCGTGACTCACATTCATTTTATTTTAATAAAAGGGGCCATCTTGAACACCACTCGTTTTAGCGGAGTACCCCCTGATTCGGCAGGCGACCACACCCCACAAAGAATTTCGTTTCTTGTTTTAGACAAGCATTTTTGCCAATATTCGCCAAGGCTTACATCTGATCATGCGGATCTAACTAATGTAGTTTCGAGAATATCTTAGGTAACCCCTCTATCCTCAGGTTCTCCCAAAGCACAGATTGTGCCTTGGGCGCCAAAGGTCCCACCAGCTCGTATTCGCCCTCCACCCGCACAGGACTCATTCCATTCGATCGCGATATGGGCATAATGCCACAGGAGGCAAGGATGTTGGATACAACTAACGAGACATCTCTGTCCGCCGGTTAGTTGATGCTATCACTCGATACGTTCGGTCAACTCATCGCAGCATGTTATCCGCACCCTATACAAATTCCAATTGCAATTGTGTGGGGCGCACCGACACAGGGAAATTGGAAGCGATCACCTCAGCCCCTTTAATCGAAGACAAGAGTTTAGCATTATATTCCAGCCATATATGAAACTCAGTGTTAGCTAGATAATTGAAAGTCCATGTCGTCGTGGAGGAAGAATCCGCTTCCAAACACGTCACCCAGCGACGAAGGGTCCTGGTCCCACCAGATGTTATCTTCTCTTGATATCCAGTTCTGCTGGGGTCCCAATTCTCCATGTGGCCCCTCCATAGATGGCTCCCAGGCTGCCTGTTGTCGTTCGCCAGTGCTCGAATCGTGCAGTATCACCAAGGGGTGTATGATCTGACGCCTGTGGGATGTTTAGCGCCGGAGAGACAACACGTGTATCCGCAACAATGATGGGAGCATTCAGAGCTTTGCCGCTCGTGCTGGTCGTTCTGGTTTTGCAGATCTTCATTGCTTACGACGTACGTGCGGAGGTGAGTGGATAGTTCTGGCGATAAATCAGAGTGTGGGTGGTCTATGAGGTGAGTGAGTTCACCGCGCCGTTGATCTTGTTCTTGGGTGCAATTGGCTCGCTATGATGATATAAGAGCTTGGGCTTGAGAGAACTGTCGTTCCATGTCTTCGTGCTGTTTACTGTGAGACGTGGGAATGGGATATGGTAAGGGAGAAGAGAGTTTGACTTACCAGTGGCTGTAACGTCATCCAATACATACTAAGTTCGCCTATGAGATGTAAATGTTTTTTCGTTTCTTGTAGACGCTGGTGCGTCAGAATCCCAAGGGCGAGGAACCTCCGCAGCTGGATTGCAGCGCACACATAGGCTCCATACCCCCATATAGCCCATGATTTCGAGATGGCCGTTTTCCGAGCTATGAAGTGCTCCGCTATGGTTGACATTGAGACAGAATGTTCCTATGCCTGCTCAGCGGCAAGTCGAATCATGGCCTGTGAGATGAAGGGGATCTGTCGACTGCAGAATAGGACGGGCATCATACAGGAGTGCAAATAGACAGCGCAGAGATGGTATAGGTAAGTGAGGGAGAAGGCACGAGCTTGATCGGCTGGGCCGGATCTTGCGGAGTTGTTGCCGCGCTCGTACTGCGTAAACTCGCCCATTCCATTCGCCAATTCCTCAAACCGCTTGCTCAGAGAGCAACATTCTGAAACCCGCTAGGTTGGACTGCCAGAATTTACAGGGATGCTCTGGACAAATTGTTTAACTTCCCACCTGTGACGTTTGTCAGAAAGAATGCAGGGAGTCGAGATAAATAAACGTACCAAAGCCCTTGAATGAGAACCAAGGAGGTATTAAACCCGATACAGGAGTTCCGTTGGGTCTGTCCAAGGTCTTGGATCATGCCATGTTTGTCAAGATATCGCGTCGGCAGAGTGGGAGATCCGTCCGCACCGTCATCCGGTAAAGGACAACTCATCACATCAGCCCAACAATCGATGGGGAACTTGGCATTCTCTTGACTGGCACACTTTGTGAGCCAGCAGGCTCAAAAGCATCTCATACCTCTCTCACGCTCGGACGGCCAATTCGTAACAGAGCCGTTCCCACGTATCTGGTGCAGGTGCAATAACTGACAGGCGCGATAGGCGATTGCTGTGGGGGTGGCTGAGGCAGTTGAGAAATTCTCATCTCAGGTGGAGCGAGGCGGATAAAAACCGGAAGCCCATGCGGCGTAGTTAGATCATCTCTCTGTGGTCCTCGTAAGCTCTCTGTAGGTGGTGAACTAGAATGCGGTGCCAGAGGGTTGCCATGGGTCAGATGCAGGTCGTGTCTAATTCATCTTAAACTGTTATTTTTCTATTCCTAGTTTCTTGTCTCTGGTTGGCATTACACAACTGAGTATCTGCAATCTTTGCCTGATAATGATATTATATGTCAAACTTAGTGTAAGAAAATTGAGATTCCGGGGAAGGTGTTAACTTTTCGAACCACAGCGGGCTACAAAACACATCTAACCACTTGTCTCTAGCCGCAGCCAACTCCACTTTCGCTGCCTGGGCTTTGATTCTCTCAGATTGCGAGCGCAGAGCAGACCGCACTGACGGCCAGTCGACTCCAACAAGACAGCCATCCTTCTTCACAGTCCTCCCGTTGACGATAACAGTGTCTATGTTGGAGCTTGATGCGTGGAAGACCACCTTAGCCGTTGGGTCATAGACTGGGACGGTGCTTATGTCGTCGTACCGGAAGACGACGAGGTCGGCTCTCTTACCAACCACGACCGAGCCGACCAAGTGTTCAAGTCCCATGACTTCGGCGCCGCCAAGGGTACCCATTCGCAGAACCTCGGTCGTCTTCCTTTTGATGGCGAGTGGAAAGGCGGCCTGATTATCGACAGCCCTCTGGGCCTGAAGTGCCAGCCTCATCTGTGCCATGAAATTACTACCCTGGTTTAACGTGATGTCGAGGCCTAAGCATGCCTTGCAACCCTTGTCGGCGGCACCAAACACGGCGGGAAAGCCCATGCCCATCTGCAACTCTGTGTTAGGGGTGCCGACGAGACCCGCGCTGGCGGAGCGGATGGAGTTCAGTTCGCTGTCGGTGAGCGATGCGCCGTGGGAAAAGACAGATATGGACCCAGGATGTCTTTGTTCGCGAGATGCTGTACCACCTCCTGGTGAGTCGTGTCGTACGGACCCATGGCAACGTGCATAGTGATGATTTTAGCGCCAAGCTCGCGAGACAGCAAGATCTGGCGCACGGTCTCGTCCAATGGTTGATACTCGGGCTCCGTCGGTGCGATCCCGAAAGTGGGGAGATCTTCAGCGGGATCATTGTTGTGCGCACACGTCGCGCGTCGCACACGCGCTGCGTGTGGTCGAATTTCTCCAGGTCCACACCAGGGACGTGACAGCCGTCGATGGGCGGGTTCTCATAGAAGCCGTAGCAGAAACAACCCCAAATTCCAGCTCTTTTCAGACCACGAATGGCGGCGTCGGCATGCTCGGCAGAGTTAATGGTGTGGCTGTGCTCGAGCATGCAGGTGACACCGTTGCTCAGTAGATCCATCGCGCCGGTGTAATAGGCGAGCTCGACATCCTCGGCAGTGTAGACACTAACGTAGAGGCTGCGGATTTTCACGAGGTAATCGAAGAGAGACCAGTCCGTGGCTACACCTCGGATGAGTTGCTGCCACAGGTGATGGTGCCCGTTCACGAAGCCTGGCACGACGATATCGTTGTCGGCATCAATGACAGTGAGGTCCCCTCCAGACGGTACATCCAAATTTGGCCCAATTGCCTTGATGGTATCATTCTCAAGCAACAAATCGCAGAATCAATGGTAATGACAGATGCATTCTTGATATGAATGTAAGTTGATGAGGTCTGGGTTGCCATGACTGTTGCAGTTACTGGCCATATGTATCAAATGCACAGGAGTTACCGATTTCAAGTGAAGTTCATGACCCTCGTGCTACCAATTTATCTTTAGGTGTCAGAGTCGTGGAGCCCCACGGGGCAAAATTATGGGGGTGTTCGGCCCGATGGCATGGGCCACCTTTTGAACTGCCCTAAGGGGTCTACCTCTGGAGTTCGATGCTTTTCTTGGATATGTATAGTGGCCTATCGAAGAGACGGTTCTTAGTGGAACTCTTCGCAAAGAACATTTTGAAGACTGGAAGTTGTCGAATACTGATAAATATATGGAGTTTACCGGGTATATGACTGTGGAAAGGATACTTCAAGTGCTTATTACAATTGGTCAGCATGTCCATTGGAGTTCTCGTTGTAACTTTGCTTAGAGATTTACATATCGCTGAAAAATACATTCTTCAAACGCTAGATATCTCAATACACTTAGCTTTCTTAACTCTTCAATCTCACATTTCACCATCCACCCAGACGCCAACTTAGGTCTCTATCTCTAACAACTTTACCAGCCATTACTAGTAGAGGACTACCCCGTACCAACGATTCCCGCCGCCAATAGACCCCAGTTATGAATTCTACTAGTCCCACCTATAGGATCCTAGTGAAATGTACATATATCGTCTGAACAGCGTATGGGAGGTGACACTAACTATTAGGAAAAGCAAGCAGAATTGCATGGATGTACACGCTAAGGAGTAGATCCCGTTTTCAATATTCTAAACTCCCCTGCTCCATGTTCGCCTATGTCATTCGTAGCACAAGCTATCTTGTCGAAAAGCCTGGAAATGCCTGAGGTACTCTCTGCAGCCCCGAAGAGAGTTCACGTAGTTGATTGCCAACTCACCACGCTAATACACATTATTTTCGGCCTTCCATCAATATTTGCCAGCACTTGCTCATACCTCCTGGAAACTGGGTTGACTATCAATGCCCTTTATAAAGGTTGTAGCATTATCGGGTTATTTTTCAAGTCGTTGGCTAATGGAGAGATCATAAAAACCACTTCAACCGGGGTGAGAGATCACATATTGCAGATCACCGCTTATCGATCGATCACCAAGCATGATCTATTCAGCTCTGCGATTTGGCGATCTGCAAGAAGGTCACCTAGGTACAACGCATGTCTCACATCAGCTTAACGTAATGCCCCCGATGATAAACAATTACAGGGTATGTACTCCGTACGGAGTATAGTAGCCCTGGAGGTAGCCATACTAGCTCAGCTGAGAATTAGGTATTAGTACACGATTGGATACGGCGTGACATTTTGAGTTCGATTGCCATGCGAGGTGATTCTTTGGAGTTCCAGTGTAACCGCGGGGTTTCGCTCACAGTTGAATCATGGAATTATTTAAATTGCCTCTCCTAATCTGTTGCACTTGTCTTCACATCCACCAAAAGGTTATACAGAACGCATCACTGCTATGGCGAGCTTTGATTATGAAAACCTTGTCCAATTGTCTAAACCAGAGACAGCGGTTCCAGTCTTCGCTGTAGCCGCCGATATTGGCGTTACCGAGACGATCCTAATAAATTCTTTGGGGGACTTTACAAGCCACTTGGGGGTATTCGACGCCACGCAGACCTTGCACGTCGCTATCCAGAGCTTTTTTGACAACGGCGGTACATTCTGCTACCTCATTCCCACGACTCAATGGCTCACGGAGGTCCCGAAGCTCGTTTTCTAGTGCTGCAGTCTACTATCCTTGGCTTTCGGCAGACTGGGCAGAAACTTCCATCCCGCCCAGCGCTGCAATGGCAGGTCTGTACTGCAAGTTGGATCACGAGCGCGGTGTCTGGGCAGCACCCGCCAATAAGCCACTTCAAGGAGGTGTGCATCCCATCTATTCGATTACGGACAGTCAACAAGCGAAACATGCGTCCATCAATATGATCCGTGAATTCCCAAGAGTAGGCTCACTGCCATGGGGGGCAAGGACGTTGGATCCAAACTCAGATATGTTCCGTTATATCTCTGTCCGCCGGTTATTTGATGCTGTCGCACGATACATTAGGTCAACTCTTCAGACCGTGTTGTCCGCACCCAATGAACCACCTACCTGGGAGTATGTCCGTACAGCGATCGACACGTATCTCTCTGAGATCTGGCAGAAAGGCGGTCTGCAGGGTGCCTCGGCCCAGGATGGCTATTTCGTTCAAATTGGGAGCGGTATTACCATGTCATCCGAAGACGTCAGTCGGGGCTTGATAAGAGTCAAAGTCGGACTGGCAGCTATTCGGCCAGCAGAATTCATTATCCTAGTGGCCAGCCAGTTGCAAGAATAGAGCCATCTTGCGAGCTGAGGAAACTTGATGTTAAGGCACTGTTAGGCTGAGAGTGATCAACTCGGATATATATTATTCCGGTCCGCCACAATTGTATATACTCCGCAGTGAAGCTCTACATACATACCTGAAGTACAAACGGGATGAGAGATACCTCGTCTACTAGATCCTCCTTGCATCAGCTGATATTATCAAAAGGTTTCCGTCTAGCAGCACGTAGGGCACAATCCTCACCAGGGTGATCTCTCTGTCAACATTGAAGTCACTCTCGCGCCTCATCGCAAAGCATATTCACCTGATTCCGACAACCATTTTTCGGCTATCCGCATCGGTCATTAATGCTAGAAAAAAGACACAGCGCTTTTATCTCCAAAGCGCCGCTTGTGATTCGGACCCAGACATCCAAAGAAGTAATGTCTCACATGAATATTGGATAGAAGGCCCGTCGAAGGCTTTCAATCTTCTTGAGGGAGAAGTGTGGGAGAAGGGAAAGGAAGGCACATCTGGCACATTTGACGAAGACGAGGAGCAGGTTATCTTTGCCAACACATTTTCGAAGTTGACCCTGGATGGCCAAACAGAAGACGGGGGCGAGAGGAATGGGGATGCTGAATATGATGACGAAGAGGACCACGGTATCCCTGAAGCTGCCATTCACCAAACAGCTAGGGACTCGAAACAAAAGCTCAACAAGAAAGGGGGAAAAATAAACGAGGACGAAAGCCAAAGAGGAAAGGGAAGAAAATGAAAAGCACCTCTAGCTCAGATACGCAGGAAATTCTCCTAGAGAGCTATCGCATCACCGAAGACACAACTGGCATGATCACCGATTATTTGATGGCTGTGTATCCAATCACCGAGCAGTTGCCACGGCTCCGTCATGAATTGCAGGGAGCCTGGTATAGCATGGCCTACAAAGGCATGAATACTACCATTACTCCAAGTCTGTGCAAGGTTACCATCGAGATGGTCAAGAATGCTCAGTTGCAGATCTTCGTTGAGTTCCCTGGGCATGACTCTTTAGATACTATCATACAGACCAGGATACGCGGATGCTGACAATGCCAAAAGTATGTTCAGTCTGTCGGTCAATCGATTGAAACCAGATAGAACTCTTCCTCAAACCCCTCTGCCATCCGAAATTGATGTGAGAGAAAGGTTTTTGATGTACACCTATCAGGATCTCTTCGATTTCATCACCGACTATCAAACGACGCGCAGCGGTAAGCCTACCAAGACCATGCTCAATAGTATCCAAGATTGGGACCCTTATCTAAACATCTCACGAGCGAGCAAAGCACAACGCTTGAAATGGCGCCGAGCCTTTACCATTAATTGGCTCTACGACATTGTTAATGTTTTTTCATCCGTTGTGGTTCAACGCCGAACGATGAGGGGACAAAGGATTAATCTTGAGGCGGTTGACTGGTCCAGAACCGGCCCCTGGAATGAACATTGACGGTTGTTTGGCATCAATGAATTCGCTGGCGACATCACTCACCTCGCGGTACAAAAGCCTGGGACCGACATTAAGTCAAAGATCTTTCCTCGTCATGTTTTTGAACTGCAGTTCATCGTGGAATCTCTCACAGTCTCTCGTGGCTGGCCGATCGGGGCTTTAACCGGCTATGTGCTGGAGCCAGCTGCCGAGGACTTTCGGCCGCGAAGAGATGTAGATCTTTTCATGGATCGCGACAACGAAAGCATCGGGAAGGGATTTTGCAGCTCGGTGGAAATTTCTTCAATTGCTCGACGTTGATGCTATGCTTCATGGAGACCCTCCTCGGAACAAATTGCTTAAAGAATTCATGATTGAATTTCAAATGGACTTGATCAACTGGTTTGGGGAGAGCAAGTACATCCACATAGTCGGTGGGGAGTGAAACCGTCTACCCAATCCACCACGAGAGACCTAGATGGCTACCCAACCCGTATATCCAGCTCTCTACCTCGTTCTCTTAGGCAAATTGACGAATGTAGGTGATACACCATAGGGGGTTTCGCTCATGGAATGGGAGCAACTTCAAGCATGACAGGCAGGCAAGGACGGCTCCTGGCACCCATACTCAGGGTAGGGAGTGCAGGATTGATTGCACAACACCTCGACTCCCTACGTCAGGTCAGTATTGTTAAGAGAGAAATTTTTCAAGAAGCCACAGGTCTAAAGGCTAAAGGGTATTGGGTATTGAGTATTGAATGACTAGATAGATGCTTGGGGGGGATACCATTGACTGAGTGGGGGCTCTCTCCATAGCTCCATGGGGACAAACGGAGGTCTGATACTGCATGCAAATAGTGCCTTGGTGGATGATGTATGAGTTCAATTCCTTTATGTCCAATGAGCAATAAATGATAGAAATTCCGAATCAAAGCACACCTCCATGTTATCTCATATTGCAGTAATTTGACCTCGGGACAATGGGACTTGAGAGAAGATATATATCAAGTGGCACAGTCAAGACCGGACAGCTTTGATATCAGGTTGCAGGAGATCAGCAAACAGGTGGAGAATTGGCTGTCTCATATTCTCCCGAAGTAATCAATTTCAATATTTTGCTAAGAAAGTTCTCGCTCGTCTTTGACTTTAACTTGAACATCTTTGGTGTTGGAGGGTCTTTTGTTATCGCTGCATTCGCAATGGAGCAGCCCAGGAAGTATGCATTCATGCTGAGATGCTTAAATCTAATAATACTACGGAGTATATAGCCGGGCACTCTAGTCAGAGGTGCATATGTTTTTATCGTGAATAACTTTCCACAGAAGATCTTGCCGATGAGCTCGGCAATTGAGTTCCCACTTGGTTACTTATACTGTGTTTCGTGGCTTATGGGTGGCTTTTTCTTTATGGATATTTTCTATCAGTATCCATATTAACTTAAAATGAAAAGAGACATGAAGTTGTGTTTGGTGTATACTAAACTTGGAAGCGATCGAGATTTAGCCGGGAGACCGGCACATCGACAATAGAGCCGGAAATTGTTATTCTCAATGCAAAGAAAAAATGGATTCTACCATAACGTAAATAAACGAACTTTTCAATTAGGTTTTAACCAGAGTTCTTAGAGTTTATGTGTTATGTTCATGGAGATAGGGCTGGAATGCCTATAGAGAGGATCTTTTGACGATCCACATGGATCGCCCACAGTTCCCGTCTACGGAACATGATTAATATACTATAACCTAGTTATGGAGGAACGAACCCCTTGGACTGGATTTGTACCTGCATATGCAATTGACTTTGTTATTATTTTGTCTCGGTTACAGAGTAATCGCGGCGTTGGTGGCGGCTTATGGAAGATATGAAATGCGCACTTCCAAGGTTTTGGCTAGTGCGTCAATAATAATAACAATAATAAAGAGCAGTTAGGCAGGATGAGTGGCGTCATTGTCGCCTAAAAGCTCCCTCAGAATGGGAATATCTCCGAACCATATACGGATTATATCTTGCATAAACCGGGAAATAAAAGAAAAAAAAAAGAAAATGCAACGTGGGAGGTTTTGGGGGCCATTGGCTAGAACATATACAGAGTTACATGGAGTTAGGGCAAAAATGGACTAAATACCCAAATACGAGCTAAAAGATGAAGAGGCAAGTGAGACACCAATCTTAATTGTAAGCGAATAACAGGTGATCCGGCCATCTCCGGATCGACACCTGTGATTGGTGTACCTGGGAGATTTTAACCCCACAATATGGCCCCCGGGGGCTTAGCGTAGGCTTATTAAGTTTTAGCTCCGTTATCTCCTTTCGATTCTTCCAAACCACCTCAGACCATCTGTTTACTTTACTGAGTACGGATTCCTCTAGTAATTGATTTTTAATCTAGTCAAATATTTCTTGCTCTTACCTTCCTGCATCTAGGTGTCCAACTCTCGGATTTAGTTTTTATATACACATACAACGGCCGGTGGACCCCGAGGACGTCCGTGCTCTAGTGCCTAAACCACGAGTTGTGATTGGATTTTGTATATCGAGCTAATTGCCTCTGCTCCAGTCATGACCCTGATACCAATTCGGCTAGGCTCCGTTAGGGTCTTCTAGTCTCTTTCATGCGGCTCTTGCAATTTTACTGCGCCGAGATAGGCCGAAATAGGCACGGGGGCCAGCACATACCCCTCCCCAAAGAAGGTCTGGATGGCTTATGGCTGACCCATTTCCTTCTCGGATGTGACTCTTCCACGCCACTGGCTGTTTGGTCGTATATTACAAGCCATGCGTTTGGTCTGTGACCAGTCTACAGTGCAAAGGTCAGTCCATGTCGCTTGCATGGGTTCCTATGAGGTTAGTCCCATAGCCGTTGTGAATAGATCATGTTTTGACCTCCGGGTCTAGTGTTCACACTATCAAGCTTCGAATCCACTTTGGGACTCTGCGTTAGGTGGCCCTGCACCGGTGGAGTGAATTCGGGGTGGCACTGACCTGTGAATCGTCGAATCATCCGGATATCACTCACCTCATTTCCACGCTTTGATAGCTCCATTCTGCTTTTTGATTAGTGTGCTCTATGTCGGAGGTCGGCATCTTCCCCAGGGGTCGGAGATGAACTGGTGCTCGATGTATTTCAGTCTCTTTTCCCCCCGGGAATTGCATTTTCCTTTGACCATCAACACTCTCATTTTGAGCACTTTGGGAAACTTCCCAAGCAGATATTTGTCTGCGTCCTCTCGTTGTTCGCGAGCTAACCTGTCATTCTTTTTATCGGGTTAATAAGCGATTTCTATTGCATCTAATTATTGCATCTAATTACTACATTCATTTTAGCCATGATGTTCAAGTCTCTTGCCGCCTTGTCGGCTCTCTCACTCTTTGCATCATCTGCTGCTGCTGTTGATCCTAGCCTGAAGAATAATGTTGCTATCTACTACGGACAAGGTTATGACCAACCCCGTCTCAAGCATTTCTGTGAACAGACCACGTCGGACATCATCAACATTGGGTTTATCGATCAGTTCCCCAAAAAGGTGGGCGATTACCCTGGTTCCAACTTTGCCAATCAGTGTGATGGTGTAGTTTTCCCCGGTACAGGACTGCTTAGTGGCTGCCACCAGATCTGGGAGGATATCCCTAGCTGCAAGGCTGCTGGCAAGACAGTCCTGCTGTCCATCGGTGGTGGTGCTGCCACAGCCCAGTCTCTCCCAGACGTGGCTACCGCAGAATGGTTTGCGGATTTCCTGTGGTACTCCTTTGGTCCTTACAATCCATCGGTTTCTTCATTGGCTTGGACCGCGACGATGAAGAACAAGCAATACCCTCGCCCATTCCTCACCGCCGCAGTTGATGGATTCGATTTTGATATCGAGTACAACGGCGATGTTGGTATGTTTCCATAATGCTCTACCTTCCTGACTATACCCTCTCTGACACCCCCACCTAGGATACGCTGCCATGATCAATCGTCTGCGCCAGCATTTCACCACCAACACCAATCAGAAATACTACATCTCTGGTGCTCCCCAGTGCCCCATTCCCGACAAACAGCTTGGTGACGCTATTTCTAAGTCGTGGTTTGATTTCATTTGGGTTCAGTGGTACAACACCCAGTCTTGCTCTGCTGCCGCCGCGGTCGACGGGACTGGCAAGTTCAACTTCAATGAATGGGTCACGGTCATCGAGAAGAGCGCCAACCCTAATGCTAAGCTCTTCATCGGTCTTCCCGCATCGGCAACTGCCGCTAACCCTGGCTTCTACCTGACTCCCGCCGAGGTGAAGCCCCTTATTCAGACCTATGTGGAGAACAAGCACTTCGGAGGTGTTATGCTCTGGGAGGCCACCGCCGGTGACGCAAAACTCAACGACGGATTAACATACACTGAGCACATTAAGGAGATCCTGTACGATTGCGCTCCTCCCAAGCCGACCACCACCACCACTTCCTCAACCACAACCACAACCACAACCACTGTCAAGCCGACCACTACTACCACTTCCTCAACCACAACCACAACCACTGTCAAGCCGACCACTACTACCACTTCCTCAACCACAACCACAACCACTGTCAAGCCGACCACCACTTCCAGCTCGACCACCACTTCCAGCTCGACCACCACTTCCAGCTCGACCACCACTTCCAGCTCGACCACCACTTCCACCCCGGTCAGCTCGACCACCACTTCCAGCTCGACTACCTCGTCCACCCCGGTCAGCTCGACCACCACTTCCAGCTCGACCACTTCGTCCAGCTCGTCGGCCTCTAGCGGTTCTGTGACCCCCTCATCCGGACATCCCATTCCCCACCCCACCCCCAGCCACAGCTCGCACGGTGGCCATGGCCATGGACACCACACCCACACCCACCACCACTCCCACAGTGTCTCACGCTCCACTCCCCTGGTCTCGGGCTCTTCCAGCACCCCCGTCCCTTCTGCCACCGAGTCTGGCACCTCGTCCACTAACGAAGGTGCCATCCCGACCGGTGTCCCAGGCGACAATACAACTACTGGAGGTTCCAAGCCTACTGGCGGCGAGACCACTACCGGAGGCGCTAAGCCCACTGGCGATGAGACTACTGGAGGTTCCAAGCCTACTGGCGGCGAGACCACTACCGGAGGCGCTAAGCCCACTGGTGATGAGACTACTGGAGGTTCCAAGCCTACTGGCGGCGAGACCACTACCGGAGGCGCTAAGCCCACTGGCGATGAGACTACTGGAGGTTCCAAGCCTACTGGCACTGACTCCACCAGCGCCCCCGCTGGTATCACTGCCACTCCATCCGTGCCTGCCTCGCCTTCCTCTTTGGCTCCGGGTACCACCACAACTATCATTGTGACCTCCTACATTGATATTTGCCCCACCGGTTTCACCACTATCACCACCACTATCACCAAGACCTACTGCCCTGGTGACGCCACTGCTACTGCTATCCCCACTGGAACCGCCGATATCACCGGCACCGCTGAGATAACCGCCCCAACTTCCGGCCCTGTTACTTCCACTGCCTCCATTCCCGAGGGCTGGACTACTACTGTGACTGTCTGCACCGTGTGCGCCGCTACCCCGACTACCGTGACCCTCACTAAGCCCGCTCCCACTACCACCGAGGTTGTGTCGCAGCCCACCGCCCCTTCGGTGCCTGAGGGCTTCACCACCACTGTGACTTACTGCAAGCACTGTGGTCCTACCGGTAGCAGCATCACACTCGTTATCCCAGTTCCCTCTGCTACTGCCATTGTCCCTGCTGCCAGCTCCGCTGTGCCTTCCTCTTCCTTCAAGGCCATCCCTAGCGGAGGATTCCACGCCGGTAGACCCTCGTCAAGCCTAGTCTTCCACCCTGTGCCCACCGCCGCCACCACCGCTGCGGACACACCCGCAGCGCCCACTGGCAACCCAGAAGGCGTGTCTCCGGTTTACACCGGTGCCGCCTCGCGGGCCAACCTGGCTGGCCTCGGTGGCGTCCTCGCCGTCGCTCTTTCCATGTTCATGATGCTGTAAAGCTGCCTACTTGCCTGGACAGCATGATCTCATCATCTACGCGATATGGTTGATCTCACGATGCTGTTCTCAAGAAGAACTGGTAAATACTAGCGACTGGTTGCTTTTTTCTCTTTACGATATTGTCTTTATTATATTCATTTTTATCCGATCTCCAGTCTCTGGAGTGATTCAATACCTCCTGGCCTCTTTTTGTGATTTACTCTGGCCAGTAGTGGTGAGACCCTCGCGTCTTCGAATTGAAGTCTTGCGAGCGGTCGAGTCCGTTTGTTCTCAATCTCCTAATGATATCCATTTCAAGGTGTCGCCGTCGAGTCTGACTTCTTTTTCCTTTTGCTGTTCACAATAGACAGAGATGCTCTATGTATAAAAATACCAATTATCTTATACTTGTCTATAATCCCACTTGGGCATAATGCCATTTCCATTTCGACCAACGCACCTTCCCTACTATTAAAGGGGTTCCTAATTGCCTTCCTAAAAGTATTTCAGCTTGCAACCTTCAACCTATTCTTCCCCTTTAATTTCTATCATCCCCCCCTCGGCCGTCTGGTGTGACGTATCGACTCCGCCAAAATGGCTGCACAACCATCGCCAGTATGATAGCATTCATGGTGTTACATGGGCACCGCCAGACTACGGCCTCTCCCCGCAGCCAAGTGGTCGAATAACCCTTCAGCAAGGCAATCGGTCTTGTCGTCGAAGGCTCCGAATCCCCTTTATAAAACTACAGGACCCCCATTAATCAGAACCCAGCATCCTTTCCGCTATCCGGGTCTCAGCCACCATGCCCCTGCGTAGGCTTGGGGTAGGCTAGGAGTTTTACAAATCAATGTGCCACAACTCAATTTGCAAAATTAGCATATGACCAAGGGCTCAGTGTCTATAAATATTGATGATTTCCATTGCGATCTTGGAATTTCGCGCTCGAAGTCGAATATCACACCTTGCTATTTTTCTTTTTGAGATAACCAACCAGCAACCCAAACTTGAACATGCCCGTTCTTCCTTCTCTTGAAGGCTCAACCTTCGATGCCGACATTCGAGATCGCCACCTGATCTACGACTACGCAGCACAGGACGCCCAGGGTAACCCTGAAAAATGGCGGTACGAGATGTGGTTCTACAATGAAGACCGCATTGTCTATGCTATCCATGGAGGTCCAATGGCGGGCCGAAAGAATTTCCAGTCGGCTACATACCAATGCATTCGTCCCGGAGAGTTATGGCAATGTAACTGGCTCGAGGAGACTGGGACGATCTGTTCGCTCGTTTACGATATCCCCAGCAAACGGCTCACAACTTTACTCGGGTTCTCCAAAGGCCATTGGACCAAGAATGAAGAAGCTCACGGAGACAAGCGTAACCCACAGGATCTTGCCCGGTGGAGGGAACTGGCGAAGGTGGGCGCGAGTCAGGCCGATCGGGTACTTTTGAGCGAGCAGGCAGATATATTGGAGGATTTTAGGGGACCTGGTGATTTGGAACCAATTAAGATGGAGTGGCCGACTATGTGAGATTTGCTCAGTTCGTTTCTCAAGGCTACAGGTGAAGAGTTTTTCATGTCTTTTATTCTCTAATTCACTCCCACCCACACTATCTTGGCTGTTCCCTTTGTATCTGGTGGCTACGGGGTAACAAAACATTTGTTGCATAGTAGAAAGATATGTTCGCATCAGCTCTCTTGTTCTATTCCAGAAGCTGGCCACAATGATTGAACATATGCAGTAGTCATTCACCTTGAAATATTTCACCAGAACTAGACTAGTATAACTGCCCTAGTCCTATCTACTAGTAACCTTTAGAAAGTATATCCTACTAGTACAGACATGTATATCTACGGCTAATAGTCGGAGGGTAACTTTTATTAGGTTTTCGAGATATCGTCGGTGAGGATATTCTTAGTATATTTCGATTATTTTGTAGGTTAAAATATCAGCTTTGCAAGAAATGACAAGGTCAGAATGCTCAAACCCCGAAATAGTCCTATATGCTTGGTGTCCATATTTGTTCTAGCGCGGCAAAATTTCCCCGCATGCTGATATCCACGGACCTCGGCTGCGGAGAAACCTTGGACCTACAACACCATGTACTAAATGGCCTCCGAGTGTCACTTTTGAACCTCAACTGTCTTTCAATATCAGGAAAACATCCAAAATGTCACCATTGAAAGGAATCAAGGTCATTGAGCTAGCAGGCCTAGCTCCAGGTACGCAACGAATCTACGAAACATCATCACAACTAACAGCCACCCCAGGCCCATTCGCAGGGCTTCTCCTAGCCGACTACGGCGCCTCAGTCCTCCGCATAGACCGACCCAACTCTATAAGCGGCGATCAACTAACCCGCAACAAGACCTCTATAACCCTTGACCTCCGCGACAAAGCCTCTATAAACATCCTCCTCCGCCTCCTCATAACCGCCGACGTCCTAATCGACCCGTTCCGCCCAGGCGTTCTCGAACGCCTCGGCCTCTCTCCAACAGAAATCCTCCAAAAACACAACCCCCGCCTGATTGTCGCCCGCATGACCGGCTTCCGCCGCGACGGAAAATACAAAGACATGGCCGGCCACGACATAAACTACATCGCCGTCTCAGGCGTGCTTTCCATGCTCGGCCGCGCAAATGAAAAGCCGTATGCCCCAGCCAACATCCTCGGCGATTTTGCCGGTGGTGGCGCAGTCTGTTTCCAGGGAATCCTGCTCGCCTTGATCTCGCGCTCCCATACAGGCCGTGGCCAAGTCGTCGAAGCAAATATGGTCGATGGCTCCGCATATCTTGCTACGTTCCCGCGGTTGGGGAGAAATACACCCGCATGGGCGGAGCCGCGTGGTGAGAATCTGCTTGATAGTGGATGTCCGTATTATGATACGTACGAGACTAAGGATTCCGGGCGATATTTTGCTGTCGGGGCTTTAGAGCCGCAGTTTTATGCGGCATTCGTGCGGGGATTAGGATTTGAGATTGGGAATCTTCCGAAGAGAGAGGATCGGGAGCAGTGGCCGAAGTTGAAAGAGATCTTTACGAGGAGGTTTAAGGAGAAGACGCGAGTGGAGTGGGAGGCTGTTTTCGATGGCACGGATGCTTGTGCTACGCCTGTTTTGGAGCAGGCAGAGCTTGAGGAGGATGGGTATGAACAGCGACCTATGGTACATCTTGCTAGCACGCCCGCAGCGCCGATTCTGGCGGATCAGGGTGGGTGGTCGGGTGGTGGGCTTTTGCCCGGGGATGGGGGTGTTGATACACTTAGGGAGTGGGTGGGGTGGGAGTTGGGTAAGGATTTTGAGGCTAGGAAGGATGGGGCTTTAGTGGCGGTGAATGGGAAGTCAAAGATCTGAGGCAGATTTGACATCGCGATATGTGAAATACTTTATATTATGCCTATACTAATCAGATGTCTATGTTTGAGATAATGTCGACTATATCAACTATAACGGGCTCTAGCGAGGCAAATATCTATCATTACAATAAAACTCTTTCAGTTCGCCTTCCTCGAGATTCCAAACATATCGCAGACATTGAACTTCATAGATGCTAAGGCCAGATCCAGCCAGCATCGATTATCATTACCATTACCACCGAACGCAGACACCAGCCTATACAAACACACCGTAACCAACAATAGCATGTACAGAAACAAGAACAAGAGAAGTCCACACGAGCGACAAAGCAGCACCGCCATTGCCAGCGGCACTACCATTGCTCTTCGGACTACCACTCTTCTTCACGGCAACTGCGCTGCTGGCAGGTGTGGAACTGGACGAACTGGTCGAACCGGTCGAACCAGACGAACTGAAAGCCGGCTCGGGCTCCGATACCGCGTTGTGGTATTCGCGAATGATATCGCTCGCTTGCTCCGCCACGCCGTATGTCGAGGACATCAAGTGCGTGGACAAGGATATGGGGATGATGCTGGCATCTGCAACGCGCACATTGGCAAGTCCGTATACGCGCAGTTTGGCGTCTACCACGCCGCCCTGCTTCTCAGGCAGCATTGCGCACGATGAGGACGGGTGGAACTCTGTGCCAGCTTCCTTGCGTAGCCATTCTACCCAGTCTTCATCGCTCTGGACAGTTGAGCCCGGGGTGGTTTCCTTTGTCAAGCTTTTGCTCATTGGGCTGGTTTCGCCTAGTTTGCGGGCGAGTTTGATACCTTCGAGGAGAATCTCATAATCTGAGTTGTTGTAAGTATTGAAAAATTTTGGTTTAGTTCGTGGTTGGAGGGGTACATACCGGCTGGGTTGTTCAGGTAGTTCGGGTCGATGACAGGGTAGTCCATTGGGTCCGAGGAATTGATGTAAATACGGCCGTGGCTGAATGGATGTTGGAGGGCCGCCGTTATGCCGATGTCGCCATTTCCATCGCTGTTCATGAATAAGAGCTCGATTTGACCTGTCGGGCTGTTAAAGATCTTCGATGCTGTCGTGTTGCAGATTGCTTTGTAGCCGGCGACCACGCCATCGTCGTACGTCGTGTTCGGTACATACTGGTCGATTGAGGCGAGGAATTTCGACTCGTACTCATCGACTTTACTGCCGTAGATGGCGGTGGAATTCACGTAGGCAACAGCGGAATCGATGTATGTGAGAAATTTGGGATTATTCTGTGGGGATTAGCATACGGCTTTGTTTGATCGAGGATACACGGGGCGCACCTTGTCCTTGCCGCCATCGTAAAAGATGGAACCTGCTGTGTCCACATTTGTGCTCCATTTCACAGTGGCACTCTGTGCAACCAGATCAGTTACATACTCATTTTATTTATAGCAAGGGCACTCACAAAATGGTCTTGAAGGTGTTGGCCGACACCAGGAAGTTCAGATACAAGGTCAATACCAGCTTCAGAGAGGACATCCTTAGGGCCGACACCGCTGTAGAGCAATACAGCCGGGCTACCAATAGTGCCACCCGCTAAGATAACTTCCTTGTTAACCTTAACCTTCAGTTTCGTTGATCCCTTATCAGTTGTGTATTCAACAGCACTCGCTGTCTTATCCGAAGATGTAGAATCTTCGAAAATAAGCCGAGTCACATGCGCATTCGCCAACACATCGTAGTTGTCGCGCTCTGGAAGAGGATCGAGATAACCGGAACGACTGTAGGACCGCGTCCAATTTGCAGGGTTGATGCAGGAGGTCGCGAGATCAGCGCCCCAGGCTTCACCTCCGTACATATTATCAGAAATGTCAATTCCAATGCTTTCTAGTGACGTTAACCAGTCACCAACTTCGGGGAATGTGCTAGGAATGTGTTAGCCCTATCGGTGAATTTTAGGAAACAAGATTCCGCATACTAGTCCGGGTATGTTGCATGGATTGGCCCGTCAGTGCCATGATGTGTCGCATTCCAAGTGATCCTAGCCTCGTCAACCACATCATCAGTTGGAGGTGTGAACGTCTCGCTTTTCTTCATAGCAGCGTAGAATGAGGCCCACGACCATTTATCGGCACCGTCCATCTCATCGAGCATGTCTTTCCAGGCGTTGATTTCATCTTCACCGGGACGGGTCATGTACAATCCATTGATGGCGGAACTGCCTATATCTCCGAGTTAATGTTCTGTGTCTTTTTTCTTTAGAATATGAAGCTCAAACCTCCAAGGACCTTGCCACGAGGCCAATTAATCTCGCGGTCATCTGCATTGGGCTGCGCAACAGTGTAAAAATCCCAATTCAACGGCGTTGTCCATAAAGAATCGAAATAAGAATATGCCGGTGTATCTGTATTGGCATTAGGAATGTCTCAGACCCCACGGTACCGAATAATGGAACGCACCTATGCGCTTGCGAAATTCATCTCCATCTCCGCCCGACTCAAGAACGAGTACGGTATGATTTTTATCCTCCGAAAGACGAGCCCCCAACACGAGTCCAGCTTGACCTCCTCCCACAATCACAAAGTCATAAGAATCATCGACTTCTGTGCGCGGTGATAATGCGCTCGCGAATTGGTTTGCGATTAGACTTGCGCCTACGATGGTAGCTGATAGACTAGGGCGCATTGTCAGAGAGCGCGACACAGATTGTCGAGAGAGTGGAAGGGTGGATCTCATATATACAAAATCCCATCGGAGTAAACAGGCTTAAGGCTGTGGAGCAAAATCTTTGCAAACCTTGTCATTGCTTTGAGGATTCTCAATTCTACGCACCTCTACCGATGATCCCCGATAAGCACATTCTCAAAACCTCAATCGCGTTAGACAAGTGGGTCAAGATTGGGCTTCTGCAAATGAGATCTTGGTTCCTGTTGCTCCACATGGCCATTTCCAATAAATCATCTTTGTTTTCTTGGAACTGCTTCTTCTACCCGTCTTGGTTCCATGTTTCTTTTCGCTTGGTCCCGAGTTATTTACAAGCAGATTTTTCTTGAGTCTACAAAAGTATATGGAATAGTGTCGAGTCCATGTTCTTTATTGTCGGCCCAACATTCAGACCTATTGCGTTACCACTGACAACTCATCAATTCTGTGATATGCCTTCTAGTGACCGCATGGTTGCTATGTATCAACGAAGGGTCCAGGGCCAATTAAAGACTGGGATTATCCCCACTACCAAAGTCTCCATCCGAAGTGGATATTAGGAAACATTCTGGTAGGCTGCTAATTAGATGATCGCAATTATAATCCCTGGCCAGTAGCCAGCCACGATAAAGGCATCTAAAAATCTCAAACAAAGCCCCATAACAGTGTCTGGATTTCCATTGACTTGAAGTGAAACATTGATATGACGAAACAGGGACCGATCGATTCTGATCGCCAATTGCTTGTCATTGTGACCATTTAATCTATGAATTCAAAATGATCTCATATTTCGCAAAAGTGGAGGTGTTAGGGTTATTCTTGTCAGCTGCACGTTACTTTTTGCTAAATCCGATCCAAGTCTCCTGTGATTAGCCACCTCGGCAAATTTATACTGTTTTACAAAGAGCTTGCCCAATTCGATCCATTTTGAGGAGACTATCGATTTTTGCGAGGCACTGTGGTAAAACTATCGAAGTCATACATTGTTCGCACGAAAATTTCAATCCCTTCAATCCCCCAATCCAGTTAGATCACGCAGGCAGAGTACCGGGGGTCGTTGCAAATGCCTCTTCCAATATTTCCAAGCCACTAAGCAGTTCGTCCTCGGTAATCGTGATAGGCGGGGCTATGCGAAAGGCGCCCCCAAAGCTAGGATGGCTACTGAGATTGGCCCACAAGCCTAAATCATATGCCCGATCCCCGATTGCCTTACCTAAAGCTAGCGCAGGGATCTTGGCCTCACGATTCTCAACAATCTCAACTCCGGCCATAAGTCCGCGCCCGCGGACATCGCCGATACAGCCATACTTTTCTTTCAGTGCATTGAGCCGGTCATGAAGCACTTTACCCATTGCACGAGAGTGTTCAACTAGCCCATCACGCACCACAATCTCAAGCACTTTATCACCAACAGCAGCTGGCAGCGGATCATTAACATGAGTAGTGTAGAAGCAGAAGTCCCGCTCGATGCACACGCGCTCGATCTCAGCACTCGTAACAACAGCGCTGAGCGGCAAACCATTTCCTAGCGTCTTACTGAGGGTGAGGATATCAGGAATAACATTTTCGTGGTCGATGGCCATTAAATCTCCGCACCGGCCGACACCCGTCTGCGCTTCGTCGACGATCAAGAGCATTCCGCGCTTTTCGCACTCCCGTTTTAGAGCAGCCAGGTATCCCGGTGGTAGGACGTGCATGCCAGCCGATGACTGGATACACTCCACGATGCAAGCTGCGAGCGATCCGCACGATTGCATATCGATCATGCGCCAGCCGTATTCCATCTCTGCTTCCCAGTCGTAGGATCCGTCGGCGCGGCGGAAGATGGATCGGTATGCATTTGGGGACGGGAGCATCAGCATCCCTGGCATCAGGGGGCCTTGGCCTTTCCGACCGAAGTGGTATTGTGCGCCTAATGCTTGTGCTGTCACGCCGTGCCAGCTACCGCCCAGTCCGACGATTTCGAATTTCCCGGTGTATATCTTGGCCATCTTTATGGCTGCTTCGTTGCTCTCGCCGCCCGTGGAGAGGAAAAAGGCTTTATCGAGGCCTGTTGGGAGAAGATCGCAGAGACGTTCACCTAGGCTGATCACTGGGGGCGACACCATGCCCGAGAAGAGGTGGTCTAGGGAGGCTGCGTGCTCGGTGATTGTCTGCACGATTTCTGGGTGTCCGTGGCCGAGCAAGCAGGACATTTGTCCAGATGTGAAGTCTAGCACTTTGTGTCCGGAGGCTGTGTATACGTAGAGCCCTCTGCTGCCACATATCACGTCTTTGTTGAATTTGGTACCATAGTTGAGGAGATATTTCGATGTTTTGGCCTGAAGCTCCTCTTGATTGACATCGCTATACAAGATGGGATTCTCTTCATTCTTTGGCGGCATGATTGCCACTGTGGATTCTTCTTTGGTGATTCCAGGGGCCATGTTGAGATCTGATGACAGGATGATTCCGTCCGAGTACTTCTAATATGTTTCCGAGCAGGAGTCACGCCCCTTAAACATATCAGGATCGCTTCCCCTCACTGAAGGGTCACCTTGCAGGAGTTGACTTCTGCTCCTTATCTTGGCCGCGGAGCCGCGGCCAACATCCTCGCGCAACCTCTTGGCTCCAATCAAATAATTTTCATCGAGGTCAACGACTTCCCCGGTGCTGGAGATTACGAGAATAACGAAAACGGTGCCTGGGTACCACGATTTGTCGAGACGTCAAATAGGCTGCCGTCTGCTCTCCCTCCGTCCGAGCTTGATTCGGTGCAACAAAGACATCATGAGCTTGCCTTGGCTGCTGGTTTTTGCAATGCCATGCTGCATATCGAGGCCAAGCTGCGCAACTCGAGCTGGCACTATGCAATGGATTCTGATGCACACGGACTTGACGACCTGCAACTCAAAACATCGACAACAACCACGACACAGCCAAAGGATGTCTTCCCAATTGAAATTAATTCCTGCCCACCAGGTTGGCAAGAAGTCGAAGTTACCGGACGTACACACGGTGCATCTTATTATAGTCTCTCCCTTCCGAATGCCTTGGGCGATAAATAGCGCATCGTGTCCTTATCCAAGTCTTTCCTGGGCGGGCCTTAATACCACATGCAGCTGCTGTTTGTCTCGGCCTAGAAGGGAGGTGTTAATAAGTTTGGTAACATTTGTAAAACAGTGTTGCGATCAGATCCGCAAGCTCTCGGTCAAGATCAGTAACTTGGTGCTCAAATTGTCAAGTATGCTAACCTCATGGAGGCCGGCCAGGAAGTTCTTGACCTACTACAGGACAAGTGTTTGGAAATTTTATTGCGTTTATCCTGATTATTTCGCGCACGAGGCGCAATGAGGCGATGTGCGTTGGACGTAAGATCAAGCGTCGGGTTAGGGAGCACACGGATGGGTTCTGAGGCTTTTCCCTTTCACGACGCGGGGCTTAGGGGGTCAAAATTATTATTGACAGGCTACTCTATAAGGTACCTTCACGGTAGTGACTAGAAGGGTTTAGAGCTTCAACAGCTCTGACATGGGGTATATATAACACCGGTTGCATGAATATTTCTTTTCATTCCATAATTTGCAGTATGTCCCAAGTACTCGGAAACATATCATCAAGAAAAGCCATATCCGGCACGAAAGGCTGACGCAGTTCAACATTCGTCTCCCCCGAGTTCTCAACCGGTGGCTCTGATTTCAACAGCTTGTCAATGACATCGGAATGCTGCGCGAGACAGATATCACCCAGATCCCACCCAAAGTTCTTCCGGTGCGATCGCAGCGAAGCCAAAAGGTCACTCGCCATTCTCAGGGAACCACTTTGTGCAAGACCCGCTGCCTGCTCTGTCTCTAGTGCACACCGAATCAAAAATGTCACCGTTGCTGAAAATGTGAATGCTACGACAGGTAGCCAGTAATCACCCAGCTGTGCTTCTCCGAGTTCCTGGACCAGAACTACAATGTCCTCGGCAGTTCTGCGGGCCTCCATAACGCGGTTGGCCATGTGCTCTGCATTAGATTTTGGTGCTTGCCGCTCGCGATCTAGGTCGATGCGCCGGAGGAGGAGTCTTGTTGCCAGATATGCTAGACGGAGGTTGGAGGCGCCAGGAATATTTAGGTTTGAGCCGCGGATGATGATCTTGCGGATGTCCCCTGTGAGTGAGTCCACCCATTTGTTCAACTCCAATTCTAGATTTCTGCTTGGCCCTTGGGTCTCGATGCGGATACTGTAGACTTGTTCCAGACAGTGGTCTAGCACGTCGGTCAAGTTCATGAGTTCGATAAAAACTGCGTTTGCTTCGTGATCTCGTTCCCAATCTGATAGGTACGCGGGTATTGGTAGTGGTACGTCGTATTGTGATCTTCTGATATGGGGAGGTGTCCCATAAGCAAGACTTGACCTGTTTTATCATGAGTTCTTGGAATGTCCCACTGTTTAGAGATTTCACTCTTGAAAACATACCAGCGATCATGGAGTAAGATAGACCACCAGATCTTCATTCTGAGGTGCTTCTCGGCTTGTGGGATATCCCATGGGAGTGGGTTTCTATTTAACCCCAGGGAGTGGCACAATGCCACAGCTGAACCCAGTCTTACCCCGTTGTCTGTCATAGATGTGGTTGGACGGCCCCCAACGTCGAGTAGAATAGCCTTTATCGTGGATATTCCAGCTGACGCATGCAACTCGGAATACGAGGCTTCAATGGCAAGATTCCAGACGAACCGAACGTCTGGGCACCTTTCTCGTGATAGAAGGGGGTCATGTTGCCATTGGGTAAGCACATGGGCATACAGACACGCCAAAAGCGCAGGAGAAATGCGATGCCTGGCATTTGTGTATTGCACTCGAAAGGAGCCTTCTTCAAGTAGTGGGAGGCAAGGATTGATCTTTTTCAGATATCTAGTCGCAATAATTAGTCTCCGAGGCTTGTATCGAATACTAATATAAATGAAGTGTAACTCACATCTCTATCAAATGCGGCCCCCATGGCTCTACAAGTTTTTCGATAGTCTGGAGCTTATGCAACGCCGGACTAGAGTTGACCATGAGCCCCAATGGTCTTTTCTGCACCTTTGTGAATATGACCGGGGACGAAGAGCTCCCTGGCTCGACGGGACGAATTTCACGAATTCCCTGGCCACCCGAAATGTTAGACAGATAGTCAGCCAAGACGTGATTATCCCCAGTCACCGCTGGACCGAGAATATGGGGATTATCATCTTCGGCCTCGAGAGACAGCGGTGTATCCTGGTCGCTCTGCACCTGGGTAACAATCGAGAACTGCGGCGAAGCGGCGAGTAGAGGCGGCCGGCTCAGTGACTGGGCAGCTTCGATTGGCGTTCGTAAACTCGGGTGTGGTAGCAGTGGGCCTGTCTCAGTGGAATACCTCTTTTGCGGTGTCGACTTTGCTCTCCCGTTGGGGAATGTACATTCTGTGCCGTGTGCGCGACACATCAGACAGGCCGCGGTGTGGGGCTCCAGTTTGCATCGTGATTTTCTCCGTCGGCATGGTATGCATGCTGGCTTCGTGTGAGATCGGTATGGTCGCTCGTCTCCACTTTCCATCTTGTTTGTCAATGCTTATCGGAGGGAAATTCCGCGGCAGGTTCCCCTCGGCGAAGTGTGGGAGACGGATGGCAAAATCGATTTCTCTCCTGTATCTAGGATAGATACAACGAAATGTTTGGAAGCCAGGTCTTCCTAGGTACTTTGTCTGATGTTCCCCTTCGATTCGCCCATATTGGATGGTCTGATCAGTCGTTGAACTAGGGAAATTCCGCGGGGAAGAGTGGGTCCGGGTGTAGGAGGAAATTCGCGAATCGCCATTGGCTGGTTTCGTACCTGCGACGTGGGGATGTGGAGTGGTTCACGTGACCTTCCGAAAGCGTAGGGCCAATTAAAGACTGTAAAAAGCCCCACACCCTATCTTCTTAACGAAGGACCTGTAAGGGAAAAAAAAAAAGGTAGCTTCTCTTTGATTGAGCGTGTCGTCCCTAGTGCAGGGGCCATGCTAATCTTCTCTGTATATTTTCAGTTGACCATATGCCCCAAAGGGCGAAAGGTATATTCGTGGAGTGCAATATAACCTCGCTTTCCGGCAGAAACTGACCGCCTACTATATTTGTCGCGTTTGCTGTCCACAACATCAGTGGGTGTATATTAAGCAAGGTAACATGCAAAAATAAAAAAAAAGAGGGGTGTCAACACCAGAAGATTTGAGTGAGAACGGCCAGGGTCAAACCGGAACAGTCAGGTAGTGGAAGATCTTAGGCACTTCCCTCGTAGTAGTTACACATTGTCATATTACCACTAGGCCACCTGCTATTGAATACTAGTATTATGCTACACTTCCTTTCCTCTTGCATTTTCCAAAATTTATACATACTCATAATATGTCTACGTATCTCAGACTTGTTTGCTCAAATAAATAGGAGGTCACCTGTATTCGTGCACTTCATTATACCTGCTCACAATGAGTGAACGTTACTCATGTCCTAGGGTGATGCACCATTTGACCCTTGTGGCTCTAGAGGATATTGGAACCTTCATTTGAAAGCTAGTAGCCTAGTCATATCTTGATTCAACATGTGGGTACAGTCAAAGAAGTGCAGCTAAGAATATCAGGTTCAAGCTGGTTCTTTCACTTTTTACTTTTCTACATGTTCCTTGTGAGGCTGATATTCCCACACTATTCCTAAGATTACTCATATTTATGTGATAAAATACGTGGGTGATGTGCGACTTGCTAACATGCTCACGGTATGTGCCTTCCAGCTGATGTAGGGGAAGAGGATTTTCACATTCTAAATTCCTGCAACACAACATTTGGAGGGCATCCACGTTCGGCTCTTGTATTGTCACTGCCTTTCTCGTTGCAGCATGTTCGAGTGCCTAAGAGTCTCTATGATGCTGTAGTATATATTTATAGCAAGGCTCTGGGGCAGAGAGTCTATGTCGGCGTCACACTCTCTTACTTTCAGTGGCTCTCTGTCAACGGGAAGAAGAGCAGTGATACTTCATATATACTTCAGCCATTTGATTTACTATCTTCAGCTTATATTATACTATACCCAAAATTCAGCAAACCTTGGCGCTGTTGCCCACTGTGGCCTTGCCCGAGGTCAGCTATCCTCGCAGGCTCAGACTTGTACATGAAACCCTCAGCAGTGTGTACTCAGGCCGTGCGAACATCGGGCAAGGGAGTAGGGGCCGGCGTTGCACACATAGTCCAACAACCTGTCAGACTGCAGACTTAGGTCCCAAGATAAATCGAGCCCAGGGCTGTACATATGACCAAGGGCTTGTTTAACACACTTAATCACTGCACCATCTGAAGTATTGTTTAGGAATACCTTCACTTCATATAAATCCCCCCTCGGTCATGTGACCTCAACCTGGACTCGTAGATTAGAGAAAGTTGCATTAAATAATGCCTATATATTACATTGCGTGCATATTCTCCACATATTCGACATGTCCTCTGACAGCGCACCATATCCCGGGGAAATAAGCAGCCGATTGGACACGAACAAGACGACTAACGTATGGCATGTTGCGCAATCGAAGCCATGTATGAGCTCAACGGGGTATAAAGCACGAAATGATTCTACTTTTATTTCGTCCAGATTCCAATCCTTTTACTTGAATCCTTTTACTTGTTTCCTGGAATTATTACAGCTAACCTCGCAGAATATGGCTAATCTTGAAGCGCGCAAGAATATTTCCGCCGACTCGGGATTCCCCGTTACAATCCATCCTCATTTCAATGAGAAAATCAAGAACCATGTGCCCCCAGATCCACTACGCGAGCCTTTTACCCCGCCTAAAGACCGGGCGTTTTTCGCAGATCCGGAGAAGAAGGCCTTATTCTCTGTAGCGAAGCAGGTTGACTTGACTGAGTCTATTGGAACTGTTCTTGAGAATGTGCAATTGTCTCAGCTGAACGAGACTCAGTTGGATGAATTGGCACTTCTTGTTACTGAACGTGGAGTTGTCTTCTTTCGGGATCAGGATCTTACTACTGAGAAACAGGTTGAGTTGTTTCAGCATTATGGTAAGTCTATAT